CCTGGCTCCAGAGAAGCCCAGGCAACATTATTGACAAAAATTAGACCCCACAACATTCTCACCATATCAATTATTACATTTTGTGTGAGTATTACGATTATGGTTAAGTAATTGATGCTGAACAGAGAAACTGCTGAGAAATGTGGGATAGAAGTCTTTATTTTCTCATTTTCTCATAGAATGAATTTGATGTGGCATAGGACCATCTGCAGCCAAGCTCTTCAATTAATATAATTTATCAAGATTGAAATAAAAGCCGTTCTACTTAATCAAATCACCTTAATACAATGAAGAATTCCCACATAACTAGTAATATAACAACATATTAACTCTAAAAATACAATATTCTAAGAAAGGAAACAAAACAAATTGGAACATGCATGCAGCAAAAATTAAGTGCATGCAAATAACCCAAAAAAGAAATAGCAACTATGACTCTGGAAGAAATTCTTCTAATAAACTCTTCTCTAGTAAATAAGGATTTTAATACTGTTTAAATTATTCCAAAGTTGATAAACATGAACACACTATCCAAATAAAATGGAAAATATACCCATTACAAAAATGCAGAACCCAATATTTTTGTGGCCAGTTTGTAACTCAACTTTATACATAGGCCAACAGCTTCAAAGAAGATACAGTGAAACCTGCTCAAACAGCCACTTGGATTAAGTTGTCATTAGCAGCAATTTTTAATTTTGTGGAACCGATCGATTTTTATGTAAGATACTTGTAAAAAAATTGCTTCTTTTCTGCAGCCATCTGACACTGTGGTCAATGGTAAGGCACATTTTGTATAACAAAGAGGTGACCTCTATCACACAGTCACCTCTAGCAATTTTGAAATGTAGGCTAAATGAATAAGAATCAGAAAAGCAACAGAAATACTATTGATCCAGCATCATCTTGTGATAGGATGCTTGGTCAGACTTTCTAGAACAGTGACACCTACAGTAGCTTATAGAAACAGAAATGAATTCTGTTTCAATTAAAAAAGATTATTTTAATAAATGCATCTATAAAATAACACATTCACTTCACTAAATCCACAGCATTCTCAAGAAGTTTCTTAACCTCTGCTTCCCCACTCTGGAAACTTAACAATGACCTATGAAACAAGATGATTGCACAAAACCGATCTGAAGGTCATTTGCTCCCTGTGGGAAGGTCCTGTTTAGACTGAATTGCTTGATGCCTTGTATTCTTGCACATTAATGAATTATAAACGTAGGGCATACTTTTGGGTTATTTCTTTCAAGTAAAATTGTTTCACCATATTAGTTCTTTCATTAAGATCATGTGCATTCTTTTGAAAATTTTAGTTGTTTTCACGCAATATTGTGTTAAATATGGGCAATATTAAAAAATAACAAAAAACAAGATTTTCTCAAAATTGTTTCCATATTTTTTCCTTATACTTTTGGTAGGGATAGTACTAATTTTACTCTATAAGGTGACATAAATAACATATCGCTCTATTCTTGTTTTTTCCAAAAACTGCAATTTCCCCCCCTTTTTTTCTCTTTTTTCTTTTTTTTCATTTTTACTTGTCTTTGACGTCATTAAGGGTCATATTATTAGAGGCAATTTGTTCATATTATACCATTTAAGAGCACCTTTGCTTTAAATGATGTCGCATAACGTTTCTTGAAAAGTCAAGTTTTTCTCTGAAAACAAACTAATAATTCTGCATTTTCAGAAATGCTCAAACCCCATTTCCTTAAAAAGTCTCCAAATGTTTTCTTCAAACTTTTCCAATGGATAGTGCTAACTGAACTGTTTAATATGACATTCAATTTATTTTGGTGTATTCTTTTGTTTTTTCAAAAATAACACAAATTTAATTTTCTTGAAATATCTCTCACACCGCTAATATGTACATTTCCAGCGATTTGTAAACGCTATTGAATTGGTGAATTAAAGTGCTTCAAATAAATTTTTTCAAAAACTCAAAAAGATTTCTGTGAAAAAGAGCTTCAAATTTCGCATTCAGTAATGCTTAATCATCATTTTCTTAAAAATGGTTCCCAAGTTTTCAACAAAAATTTCCTTATAATACCCAAGTTTTACTCTTTTTTATTATTTTTAAAATAATATTTCGGTTGTACCTTTCGGAAACCAAAAAATTTTCTCAATTAAAAAAATGTACATTCGGCAGCCGGGAGCTGGCAAAAGGATGGGGGCAAGAATGTAAAGTTAGCCCAGACTAAAGAAAATACATAACTAATTCATACGAGAAAGACTGCTCCATTCCATAGTACTACTAGTTAAATTTGTGTTTAATCACAAAATGTCATTTGTACTCAATTATCTGACTATGCATCCCATCCAGGAAGATATTGACTCAGAAGCACTGCCCTTCTGCTTCATATTCTATTTCATTTCAAAATCACTAGAAGTGATTACATAATTGAGGTCAATCTACAACTTGATCACTGACCACAGGTCCATGTGACCCCACGAAAGAGGATAGTTTTACCCTTATCTAACGGAAAAAACAATTGATTCCAAAAAACACTGCCGTGAAAGGATGCAAACCCTTAATCAAGACGCCTGTTTGAGCAGGTCTCACTGTATTTAAAATTGCTTCCTACGCGAAAGACATGTACTGTTATGCTGTAGTTTATAATTAATATCTACATAAAAAATCTTACCACAAATACACATTCTACTGGATAGAAAGTATAGAAAATTGTTATTTTACCACTCATTCACAGAAAGAGAGTGAATTAAAAATAAATCGAAGGGTTAATGCAGACAAGAATAAGAAGTCAATTGTATCGAGAGAGAAGATTTCATTCTCAAAAGTATAATGAAAAACAAACATTACATATGTGGCTTTAACCTCCCTTTGGGTGCACTATATCTATTGTACACACTTCATAGATAATTAGAGATTTGGAATCAAGATTTGCTTCCACCCTAACTTCTGAAAAAGTACTTCACATATTCTGTGCTTTCATTTAGTCTTAGTGCAATCTTTGTTTGTGAGAGATACAGTGTTATCATCCATGCCATCAGTGCCTCTGAGGAAAAGCAGAAAAGCGAATTTAGACCTGGAAAATGAACACCACACTGAACTGATTTGTTCCTTATCATTGAACAATGGAGGGCCTAAAAAAGAATAAGACTAACCAAGTATTGGTTCATAAAGTACAAGAAATATTTCTGTTTAGAGCATGCTGAACAGCACAAGGTTTGCTTTCAAAACCACCTACATTTTAAAGAAATATACAAATGACAAGAGAAGCGTACCTAAAAGTCTTGGTTCATAAATTAGTTAATAAAACAATATCAGTACAAATGACTGTTTTATTTTTATCTCTTTAATTGATGTGAATCTGACAGATACAGCATAACAATTGGGTGTTGATTTTATGTGCATGTTCAATGAATAGTTAATGATAACTCCCAATTTACTAGAAGCGATAATATTAGTTATTTTCACATACTAAATCGCTTACCACATTTACCTGACTAGAAGATCATCCATGTGTGTATACACATTTAAAATTTAAGAAAAGGAGGAGGAGGAAGCAATAATTTGAAATGATACTGTCCGAATATAAGAAATGTACATTCTAAATTATTTATATTCTACTAATATCTCTTCTTTTTTTCTTTCTCGACATAAAATGAAAATGAAACTTCAACAAAACATAATTATAGTGCACCATTCATATCAAGTTCACTGTTTCTCCCGACATTTTGTGATATTGTTATCTTACGCAAAAATATAAAATTGACATGTGTTTCTTTGAATTCCTCTCTCACAACTATCTCATAATCATGTGATAAAAAAATACATACAGATTTGAGAAGGAAAGACAATATTCCAATATTTTATCAATTTCAAACTGATATTTAATGCCCAGGACATAGGAGTTACCCACATGGCGTATCATTCAGGATTGAATGTATTAAGAAATCTATTAAACAATTATTTTCTCACACATGGCTCCAATTTTGTACTTAAATTCTTTTCGTTTATGTGTCAAAGGATGGCATAAAAATTTGTGATAGTATCATTTCCAACGAACTCTTTATTTACGAAAATTGCAATATGTAAACATTTCTAAACTATAAAATTGAATATAAGAGATTTTTGTCTTTAACAAAAACTTTTAAAAAACAGTTCTTAAAAAAGACATGTACAATTTTCTTTTTTAATGAGATGTTTTCTTATAATTTATGCTTAATATTGCAATTTATAAAAAACATTTTCTGAACAGTCAATTTTTTTTCTTCCATAAAAACCTCCATAAAACAAGGAAAGCTAAAAAGGATGAGGCAAGTCTCATTTTCGTTGTACTCTGAATTTTTGCTAATTTAGAAATAATACAAGAAAGCATGTGCTATTGTAGCACCACTAGTTAAATTATCTGAATCATTGTCATCTATTACATTTCTATGGTATATGGTGTTTTTACAACTCTCTCACCCAATCAATCTTAACAAATGAAGTGTCAAAAGATTTCACACAGATGTAAAAAACTGCCCTTGAACATTGTAAATGTTAAAAAGTCTTGAAAGAAAAGATCCCTTTCATATAAATGCAAATGCCAACCACACAACCCACTTAACAGTATTTCCTGACACACTGATGGGACATAACTAAAAAATGATGGGATCTAGAGCCTTAAAGCTTGATTTTTGAGATAATAAGCCTCCAGTCATGTTACTCATGCTGTAGACTACAAAATCAGATCTTTTGAGACCTCCATTTACATTTGGGGGATTCGTCTCTTCAGAACCGTGCCGAAATTTAATTTAACCAAGTACATTTTTCTTCTTATAAGAAAATTAGAGGACTCCCAATTAGAGGACTAAAACTGGAAAAATTACTCATCTTCTATTCAGGTAAATATGGTGTCTCAAAATTCCAATCTACTTCCTACGCCAACACTTCCATCATATAAATAAAATTTCCACATATGTCATATTTGTAAAAAACTAAGTTAGATCGAGGAAAAGCAAAGCCACACCAAATGAGAGCATACCTTGAAGCACATGAGTGAAGCAGGCATGCACAGACTGGAGGGCCAGCTTACCTCCAAGGTGTCGGTGGTTGGCTGTCTGGGCGGGCTGGCTGGGGGCAGGTGAGGGGAGGAAGTAGCCAGGGGAGGATTGCTTTCACCGTTGTTACTGGGACTAGCAACAGGGGGGAGAGAGGTAGCAGGAGGTATGGGGCTCTGCACTGTGTCTGCATCACCCCCAGGACAAGGCCGTAGCTGAGCTCCATTGCCACCTGCACATACACAAAAATATAACACCTTTGGTACCAATCATCAAGTTGAACTTATTTCATTTTATGAATAAGAAATAAAAATTATATCTATTATCTTAATTATGTCAATGCCTGTAATTTATTTTTTTTATACTCAGATAGTCCTTAAACAGGCTCAACCTCTTGTAAAAAAAAAAAAAAAAAAAAAAAAAAAAAATCCATTTATTATCTGTCCATTATCCATTAGCCAAAGCCATATTCATTTCCTTCATTACTAGGACTGTGATTTCTAGGCATTTACACTTTCTTTTGATTATGTACTAAAGGATTCTGTTTCAAAAAATTTACATGTTTTGAGACATTCAAAATAATTTTTTTGCACATTTCTGATATTTCTGCACACACACACCATTATAAATGCATATTTGGGCCAATTGTGCATATTTTTTTGCACCTCCTCCACAGCAAATTCTCCGAAAGTCAACAGTAACTAAACTGTTGCTGATATTTCAACAAATCTCACACCAAAAGAAAGTAATATACTGGACGAGAGACGTATCTTAAGTGTGAAATGAAATTGAGCCGAATTGTTGCTATCCATGGGTTGAAATGCTGTCCCCAGAAATCTAGTAACACAGCAGCCCTTCCCTTGCTCCTATGACATGATGAATTTTCATGATCAATTTGTTCCGCAAACTTTGAATACTTTAGAAACCAACATAAGAAAACAACCTGTCTTAAGAATTGTGAATGTTACACACTTGCTTTTCTCTAACAAAATCAAACTTGGAATAATTTAGAAATATCACCCAACAATATCACAGTAAAGATGTAAATATTATATTAATTGCTTGAAAATTCTTTCCAAACTTTTTAAATCGTTCATAACATTAATTATTGCTCTTACCAGACTGAACCAGCCACATTCACTAGGGGTAATGAGTTTATTCTTTGAATAGAGGGTAAAAATTGTGAAAAAAATCCAGTTGAAAATAATTGATTTCTACATAAACTACCAAACAACACATCCAATTTTGTATCATTCATTGACATTAATAGACCAGGCTTCATCACACTTCGCCACTGAATACACTTTTTTCAATTACCTGCAGGTAAAAGCTGAGAGCGAGGTTGAGTTGATCGCTGAATGGCAGTAAAAGTCTGTGCTTCCCTTGTGGAGCGAATAGAACACAAGGAAAGACGCTCTTCATCGCTAATGCTGGAGCAAATATCAGGAAGTTCATAAGCATACAAACAGCTGCCCACCAATGTTTTTATCTTCTGTTCATCTGAAGGCACACTCTGTACAAATGATAATAAATGATAGAAGAAAAAATAATACATTTTCAGAATAAAAAAAACAATATAATCATACTTAATTCCTACATACTTTAATCTGAGAATTTGCTATTTCTGCTAGTCGCAGGAGGTGAGCAGACACTCCACATAAGGGAGCAAGAGCCTGCTTTATTGCACTGTACTTTTCATCCATATTGAGGCGAAGACCATACTTCACTGGCACAGAGCCATCTAATCGAATTACTGTAAATGATGTAACAGATTTTAAAATAAGTCCCTATTCTTGAAAAAGTTAATTGGAGCAAAGAACTCATCCTTACTTTGCTTACAATGAAAGTGATATTTACTTACCAAATATGTATTTATTTCGTTTATATTTGCACCCAAAACTATTGAACACAAGTGAACAAATTTCAATTTTCAAAGAGTATTTTTCCATAGAAGGAATAAAGTTACAGCCTTATTTTTCTGTGCTTTTACACAAAACAGGATAGTTACTTTAAGTACAATATCAACATCAGCAAGTAGAGCACCACTTGAAAATTACAACCATTCTAAAAATTGTAATTTTGTTGGTATTTTTTCTTTCCTCTCTGATGAGAGACCAGATAAAAATTTGAAATCTTCAAACATAAAAGATTACTATGATACCAAGCTGCAGTACAAATTTCAACTTCGAGATTCAACTCAGAGTAGATTTCAAAAAATTAAATTAACACGTAAATGGTTCATGTATACATTGGAGATAATTGGTAACAAGTAATAATTCCAGCCGTAACTCAAATCTACTGTACTTTAAAATAATTAATAAAATGTATCCAACTCATAAATAATTTTATAAATTCAAATTATTTTCAAAATTAAAGACAACACCTAACTTTGGACATTCCTGATTAATATGGAGAGTTAACCCAATCAAGTAGTCAAGTACTGTCCTTTAAGATTTGCAGTCTGGTCAAATGCGTAAATGATGGAAAAACTTTAATTTTGAAAGTGTAGCAGGAATCTTTTTACATTGTGAACAAAGGGGAAATGAAGGAACATGAAAAAACTGTAAATGACACATAGCATAAACTCCTGAAACCTAAAAGCAAGGACTTACAGAACTGTTAAATAAAGATCTAAAAAATGTCAAAAGCTTAACTAAATGTTATAAACTTATTTTCCACAAAGTATTCATTCCAAATTCGAATTATGAAAATGATTGGAGTCCTGCAGCCCAAATTGTTGGGTATGTATTTACTAAGCAGCAGCAAAGTTGTATTGAGATGCTAAATATCGGGGTGTGCTAAAAAAAAAAGAAGCTTGATTTACATTTGCATTGCAATCCATTGCTTGAAGCTGTTCTTCAGCTTCTACTTTGGCTGCAAGATTCTACACAAAGGCATGAAGATTATGAGCCAATTTTTCTCAGCTATCAGCAACTGAAGCTGAATGAACCTTCATAAGGGCCCACAACCTATGGCACCCTGCTCCCGAGTGCATGTGCCTCCCCACAACTCTGGATGCTAAACCTTAAGCGACAAGGGTTCTCCATGAACTTTCCAGTCTCTGGTTACTTAGTGTTCACCAGTGAACTGGGACAGGATCTGCCAATGCTAGGTCTGTTCCTTCTGCAGCTTCCTTACTGGCAGTAGAAGTTCAAAGCCATTGAATGCAATTCCACAGTTTCATCTTAACAGAGCCTCATCGATCGCAGATTTCATCAATTTTACAAGAAACACATGGCAGACAAGGGATTCAACACACCCAGTGAGAAGGACTTGTTAACACCTGTTTAGCCTCAAGTGCAAGCAACTTGCTAACTGGAAACTGGAGAGAATGAATCTGAGAGACTGAAGAGAGGAGTTTATTTTGAACAATTACAGAATGGTGTGCAGGTGCTGCAGAGCTAAACTTCAAACACAGAACACACTTTTGCTGGAGCAGTACTGACCAAAATAGAAGAATACAGTGCAGCCAAACACAAAACTCCTTCAAAAAACTGTGTACCATTCCAATAGTAACCACAATCCATGACAAAGCCTCAAGATTAGAAATAGACAATGCAACATATATCAGGGATCATCAAATAACAATAATATGGATAATGTGAATGATAGAAAAGATATCAATGAGAACCTGAAAGGAATAGCATTGAACATTTGAGAGAAAAAAAAGTTTCACCAATGCAAAGTCATCTGTTAGAAACATGTATTGAAGACGCAACCTTAGGAAATTATCTTATTCCTTTAGTTAACAATAGCTAAATCATTTTACTTGAACACCATAGAATCAGTCTAAGTTATCAATAAAACATCAGTGTAAGATAACATCTTACCTATAACTTGAACATGAATATAACTTTCCATGGGCAATGGCAGCGACAAATAATTGAAAGGGTCAAAACGAACACTTTCATGACCACACACTTTACAGGTCACTTTACTCTTGAGTTGACCATGAAATAAATCAACTATAATTGATTTATTCCGGAGAATATGATTTTCCCATGCCTGAAATAAATTTCATTTCATTAATTCTTTTAAATCATAATCAATTTCACAAAACAAAAACATTTGAGAAAAAAATACCTCTTGAGCCACTATCACATCTGGACGACCATCACTATCTTTTAGTTCTACATAAGGCTTGTCATGAACTCGATTTAAATCTTCATGCAATCCATCTAGTAAAAATGCCAAGAGTTCTTGAGAATCATGTTGTTGGAATCCATTAAACCTTGGTGCATACTTGCCTATAGTCCACTGAAAATAAAATTTCACATTACATATAGACACAATTTCAATTTATCATTGTTTCAGAATACTATTTATCACTATGGAGTGAGATCAAATTCTTTTAATTATATAATAATAAATACATATTTAATCTATACTTTTATTAACAAGACAATTAAGAACCTCTTTACTAACATGTTTCTGTTCTTTCTCTAAACATCTGAAGCAAATATTCAAAATTAGCAACACCTGACGTACCTCCCTATTTAAAAGAAAACTGCATATAACATTAATTCCCCTGAATTCCTTAATAAAACTGTCATACACAATTACTTCAAGAATTATATATTAGCGAAAACTAACCCGTAATTTCAAAGGAGCAATGGTCTTCGCAGTACCACTCCATATATCATGAATCAAGTCTCCATATCGCTTTGCAATGTGACCTTTCATTCCCAGAGGGTTAGTTCTGAAATTAATATTAAAACAATTGAAGAGCAGAAACAGAGCACAATAATACAAAAGAAAGCCTGAAACCAAATTACATACCTATTTAATTCATAGAGATGCATATTACCAGTAAAATATTGGGTCAAGGCTCGTGTATTACTAACACATTGCAGAGCTGCATTCATAAAACAAGTGTTGCCTAAATTGTTCAGCCCTGTAGCTCCCTTTTCAGCTGGAGCAGCTGCTAACAAAAAATCAATGCACATTAAAATTATTTTTTAAAAACTTATTACTGTAGTAGTCAAAATATTATTACTATAATGTATCCAAGGACAACACCTTGATATTAGACACCTCATTACTACCTTTTAACCATTTTTCTGATAAATAAAACATATTCAGGTAAAAAATACATCTGATAAAAATACCGCCTTTTTTACTGTCACTGCGCAATATTGATTTAAATTGTTTTCCAATTGTTATGTTTCCTTTCTACATAATCATGTATTAAAATACTGAAGAAATCCTCAGAAGAGGTAGTTTTAAGTTTTCCTAGTCAGTTGTAAAACAAAACAGACAATCTTAGTAAAATGCTGCAACATCTTTGAAAAGACAATTGTGGGACACCAATGTGCAAGTGAAGAATGAAGGCGAATAAATGACCTTGATAACAATCAATAAAAAGATTAAATGAGAAACGTTTACATATTAATGGAAATTAAAGAAAGAAATTCTCAAAGCCAAAATGTAGTTCTGCATAGTGCATACTCTGAATCTCATCTAAATGATAAGCATTACCAAAATTTGAAGATGTAAAGCTATTGTTGGGCGATATAAATACCCCAACAAGAGAAGTGAAGTTTATCATCAGGCCTGCGAGGAAATTTCAAACTAAACTAAACCAAGACCTATAAAAAGTGGTCCTGAGCAGTACTAAATCAGCCAAGAACATACTTACAGGTAAGTGATGCCCCATGGCGAACATGCCAACTCCTCCATTTAAACTGGTTAAGGAGTAAGCTAAATACCAGTAATTACATCAAGCAATTACAATGTTACGAGTCAAATTAATGTAAATTAAATTAAAACAGAAAAATTCATTTTGTAAGTTAATTCCTTCTTTGAGAAATTACACTCTGAAAATTGAACTTGGTTAATTTGCACGTCATAGTTTTAGATGCAAATATTAACCAAACAAACACAAATAATACATAAGACTCATAAGTTAGTATATACTAAATACAATGCACTTTTTTTCAAACTTTTAGAACAACCTAGTGAACAATAATTTAATATATTGTAAAGGCTCTGTAATGTGAAAGATGACACCCAGCATAAAACAAAAATAGCCACCACTTGTTATCCTAATAAAATATTAAATGTAGTACATGCACAGCCACATGGCCAAATATGTTTTTGAACAACCAAAACCTAAGAGAAATCATTTACAAAATATGGTTTTTATTTTTGAGATAGATGACATTTTACATTTTCTTGACCCCTTAAAATGGATTGATCCAACTGTAGAATGCAATCCGAAATTTGTAAGAGAACTCAAAAATTAAAATATAGTTACAATATGGAAGAGCTTGTAGAAATAACAAACAGCAATTTATGACAAAGATGTGGATGATCAGTCACTGATTGAATAGATGAAAGTGATTCAAATAAACTCCATGAAGATAACAGTCCAGAAAACGAAAGTTATGACACTACAAGGTAAAGAACAAAAGAGCCAACATTGTAAGGTTACAAAAAATGGTGAAGCAAATTAATTAATTCTCATATTTTGTGAATATCTGTGTTAAACTACACTCAAGAGGGCACAAAGGAACAATGTAACTAAAACAATTTTTGAAATAATCCAAAGATACTTTGGAAGCGTCATGAACCTGAAAACAAAACAAACTACACAAGATAGCCTAGGATATGATACCCTATAAACCTTGGGTAATGTATTGCTCTGAAATATGGACAATGAAAGAATGAACAAAAACTACAAATGGTACATATTTGAATCCTAAGACGCTCTATGGGTTCACAGGTAGAAAGAGACTGAAAAATAAAGATACAGTATTAGAAAGAAAGTGAACACCAAAGGTATAATAGAGGAAATGGAATATACTCAAAGAAAACAGAAAATCATATGAAGAAAATAAACACCAATAATAACAATGATGAATTGCCGAAACTGATATGGAAATATCAGCCTGTAGGAGTCGTACATAATACCAAAAAAGTAATGCCAAAACACACACACACACATATCAACCAATAATAACCAAGCTGAAAAGCCTATCTCTGATAGTTCATGATGATGATGACGACATCTTGTTCTTTTGATGCTGCTGAACATTCTAGAGTTAAAGAGTCGATGAAAACTCCATCATATCAGATCACAGTACAACTGTACATCACCTACTATAACATCTTCTGCAACAGTGCAGCAGAGTAAATGTGAGCATCAAAACCACTACAGTGAAAAACCTGTCTACTCATAAAATTGGACAACTGCTCAATGTTTTCTAAGAATGATATTAGTTTTTCCTTCGGCTTGAGAAAAACACTCATGGCTAAAATTCTAGTGGTTACAAAAATTACAATAATACTTTCTACTATTATTTTAATAATCATGTCTGGCATTTAGAAACAAACTTTCTCCTTTTACTCACTTTGCTTTCTTTTATCTTGCATGTGATTAGCCAAAGATCCCATCTCTTCTGGCCATGTTAAATCTTTATTGCGAACTTCTATGAGAAGCTGATCATCATCTACTATACCTAGCTCTTCCAGGGTAGGTTCTTCATCTTCTATTAGCATCATGTTATTCTGAAAAATATTAAGTTATGTTTTAATATTATATATATATATATTATATTATATATATATATAATATATATATATATATATATATATATATATAGTATATATATAATCAGTATTATATATATATATATATTTCAATTTAAACTATCGGAAAAAAAGAAATAAATGGAAAGAAAAGAAAAAAAGAGAAAAAGCGTACTTCATCACGGTAATGCCATAGTCTCATGTCCTCTGGTCTGAGTCGAAGACGTGAACACAGGAAGTCATAAACCTGTTTCACTGTGGCCATTCGACTGAAAGCAGCCATGTAAGCAAGTTGGCGTTTTGGAGGCATTGGAAGGTGAGATACATATGCATATCCAGTTGTACCTATAGAAAACGAATCAAATAATTTTATCAGTACCTACAATTTTTACAATATGATGCCTATAATCAGAACAAATTCTTTTTAAATATTATCTACATTGAAAACTGTAATTACTACATTATCTACATAGATTAGTTTTTCAAAATTATTTAAATATAATTTACAATTTAAAAAAATACTAAAATATAAGATTGCTTGAAGTCAATCACTTTTAAAATAAATGTCTTTGTTATCTTTTTTCAATGCTTATAACATCATGTCTTCACCCAGAATGAAGCCTGAGATGCGAAGATACACAACCTCAAGGAACAAATCATTGAAGATAATCTTATACAAGTCATTACCACCAGGATTATCAGTAATAGCAGAATAAACAGCATGTTCACTTATCTAGAGTACATTACACTATAGGGTAAACTACCAAATCTTAAAGAATAATGTTCCATTACAACAAAGATGATTTATTTTGGACTCCACATTAATCTTGGGGAACATTACAGCACCCTCTTAAGAGTAGAACCATGACTATTAGATCTTCAAATGCTCTGATTCTACTGCTTTAGTCATTGTTCAAAACATTATACTTTATATTACTTGGAAAATCTTTTTACCACCTTTTGCAGATAAATCTGACTTACCCAGAAGACTCAAGAATGTTTATAACTGCAAAAAATAGTTTAAAACTGGAAGAATATCTGTGCTAATAAATTTTCGGATATAATGCTGTAAGTAAATTTTGTAATCATCACAGGCAATTTCTTTACACATTTTTGTTTGTGTGAGTTAAAAATGAGAGTAACATTTCCTTCCACTAGGGTAATTTCCTGACAAATGTATCTTCTGTGAACTGACACGCAGTTTCCTCTGTGTTTTTCTTCACATTATTTCTACATTTCTATTTTCCAGAATTTACCAGGAGATTCCTGTTTTCCAGAAATCAGTCATTTTGCCATAGAAAGTAAATGTAATTCCAATTACATGTCATCTCAAATCTGATATTCTTTCTAGTTGATACTTTACTTTTGGATCTTAATGATTAACACACAATTTCATGTTCAAATTAATAGGAAGACCAGTACTTTTTTCTGTCATTGCTAATTTAAAAGCGAAAACTTCTCAGCACTTCTTATTAGTATCGAATGTACACAAACATAAGACATCTCTGAGTATATGACAAACCCTTAATTTTTAGAGGCCTCTTAGAAATTTTTTTTCATTTTTAACTTATTCTTACTACTGACAGACAATAAAATTGCAAATTGTCTTCTTAACCAGAAAATTGACTTAATGAGAAAGTTCAATATTTTTGCCTGACCATTATCTTCTTGTAATTATCACAGTAGTTTCTAGTATCTTCATGTTCACTTATCTTTCTTCCTAGACCACCCTCATACTAAGTTGGCTTATGACATTTTAGGCCCCCTGAAAGCTTTGAGGATTGGATTTCCATTTTTTGTCTTTCTTCTGATGTTGTCTATGAACTGCCACCTTCCTTCTGTAACTCCCAATTTTCTTCCTGCTATGTTCCAGAGTGGCTTCTGCTTCTTCGACAATTGTTAAATTTCTATTATTTAAAAAGTCTGTGTGGTAGAGAAGTAAACCACAAAATCGTACCTAAACAAAATCTAGGCTTCGATTTTCATCAATTTTCATGATACATTTCACTTTCTACAATGCCATTTATTTGAGATTCTTTTAAGCAGTCCATTCACACAAATTTTGGACTGTCCAATCAGGTGGAAACCAAAAAATCGTCCACAAATATAATTAGGTATCATATAGGATGGTCCTAAAAGATATGTAAAATTTAGTACAGCTATAAAGTCTTGAAAACTGCTAACATAAATGATTCCATCTACCTGGCTTACTTTTCAAAACACAAGTCATAGCAATATGCAAAAATAACTAATTTTTTCAATGAATTCCCTAAGGAAACAGTTGTGTTCATCCCTTGTATTTCACTGTACATTTTTCCATCACTCATTCCTTTAAAAGTTTTTTTGACAAAAATTACCCTGCAGATATTTTTTGGGACAAGCCTGGACTGAGAGCAATGATGACGAAACTTTCAAATTTGGCAAGTCAACTAGCTCTAACATGCAACCCCAAATGTTGCATTCCATGGAAGACGCACGCTTTGTGGTATCAGATAAGAGTCAAATAAGTTTAACCCATGTCAAGAAGCATGCAACACTTTGTGTCATCGGAACTAAACAGATACTAAAATTTTGTTCTAAGTTTTCTCTCTAAACACAGGTGCCATATACAACCGTACTAACATAGCTTTCAGATTTTGAAGGTAATTAATCTTTTACAATGTAGTATTTAAATAACAAAATGAAAATTGATAATGAATTAAGTGCAATTTTTTGTTACAAAGTGGCAAAAAAGATCAGTTTCAAATATTAAGAAGACATATTTCAGGGATTATTTCCCTCTTTTCAGAAGTTTTTACAGCATAACCCAAGTAATGTGAGGCAAGTTACATATTAAAAAAGCATCTTCACATGTTGAGAATCATGAATTTATGTTTGAATGCCATTCTTGCAAACAGGGAGGAAAAGTAATGGAAGTTTATTTCTTTCTCCATACCTTCAAAATCATTGAACTTTATAAAATTTCTTCCAAAACTATCAAAAAGGTCTCTAGAACCATCCTATTGACACACATTGCCATTGCAGCTTCTTGTTATGCCATCATTTGAATTTCTCAACAGGGACAGACAATTTAAAATCATTGGTCCCTATTGGCTGAATTTGTCAATGCCCAATTCCCTAATGGCTGAATTTATCAATGTAAGTACCTGAATTTTTCAGATGAGATATTTATGAAGAAAAAAAAACAACTTATAATTGGATAAGTATGGCATTTGTTTCCCATAGAGTAAATATTTAAAAAATGAATACTTGTTTTGTATGTTTTATTGCTACCTAATTATATACAACAACATTCTTTGTCACACAACAGAACTCCTCATTAATATTAAAACTGAATCACAACCACTTACTCAATGCTGCTGCTCCATAGCCACCCACCATTCCTGACCAGGCAGTTTGAGGAGTGCGACTTGGAGGAGTTTGATGGCGCAATAACCGCAGATTCAAAGGGAACAATTCTAATTCAACTTGCTGACTATTATGAGGTAAGATGACCTAAACCAAAGTTTAAATATTCCATTAACAACAGAAGATTCACACACATTAGAGCAACTTGAAAGCAAACGATGCAATAAAAATGAATTTAACAAATAAATTCATTAATTGTAAACAAATTTTTCAGTTATATCAAACTGTCTGCAATAATTTTAAAAATTAATACTAAATAGACCTAAAAAGAGACAATGATGTCACAAGAAATATGTTTATTTCAAGGTTCCAGGTTCATAATGGACCTATCTTTTCACAGCACTTGTCTTAGGGATGCCGACTCACTTTTGCACTTACTGTCAGACGACAATAAGTTGCCAAGGTTTAAAATGAAAGATTGATAATTTGCAATCATACATTTTCTCAAGAAGTGCACAAAATATGTTACAGTGAATGTCAGATAAAGGTGGAAGGAGTGAAAATAAATTCGACAATAGAAGCAGAAGAGTATATATTCAATGCAATTGTACACATAGGTCTCCAAGACAGGGTTATACTTTTCTAATGTAGAAACATTTGCCACTTTCTGGATTTCTTGAACAATAAACCTAGTTTTGTTCTGGTTATCCTGGTACATTTATTATAAATTGGAACTTACTTTCTAGATATTTCTATGTTACTTACCTGGCGTGGAAGAGCAGGAGATCCACCATACCACTGATGAAGAGCCTTCCACAAGGAATCAGGTACAAGTTCAAAATCCCGAGAATGCATCAGAACAAGATTGCGTTTCAATTTGCCACCTTCACCGGTAAGTGTCACAACCTATGAAAGAAGAAAGAAAAAAAAAATTAAACTACAACACATTAAAAATGTCACCATCTTCCAACCAAAAGATCTGGAATAGTGTAACTCAATTTTGCCACTTTTAAATTAAATTCAAAACTTCAAATATACATAACAGCAGCAAATCCTAAAATTCCACCTTAATTTAGTCTCATTGAAACAGTAACTGACAAAAATATTTATTCCTCTTCAGAGGCACATTGCATAAAGTCTACAATAAAACTTCCTTGCTAAACCCAATACTTACCTTGTATGTAGATGGTGCCACAAGGACAGAGTTGTCAATGGGACCAGGAGGAGATAGGGGGCATCCTAGAACTCCACCTACTTTTCGCGGCTGACGAGGAGAATGGCTTGGACTTGAAGTACTGCTGGGAGGCCTAGTAATGACAAAATACATAATAACAAATAGTTTCTCTCAAAGCACACAAAAGAGATCATATTTGAAAACATAATTGTGACTTTTTGCTGTCATGTCATATTTTTTCGTAACTTTTACAGACACCATGAAAATGTTTATTCCAATTAGAATATTTAAGAACTATGACATGTTACAAAATGTATTTCTTTATTTACATACAGGCAATCACCCAATTAATACATAATTAGTCAACATAGGAGACAGAGTACATAAAAAATATATCTAAACGCATTACACAAGCACTGTTCCTTTAATAAGTTTATGTTAAAAACCCTGGCACACACTATTTAATAAGTGTTTTAGATCAAAACATATTACTTATAGTAATAAAATTAATGGCTCAACTTTTCATTCTGAACCATTTGTAGATTTGCAAGTCCTTTTTTTATGGGAACAGATGTTTAAACTACACAATAAAGATCTAATTACTATAGTCAATAAAACACGTCATAGTCAATACACAGCTCTATCACAATCAATTTACATTGTTCTACACTTATTTACTCGTTAAGTTAAAAATGCTGCACCAATTTTCCTTAAACCTTCCCAAATGCACATCAAAAACCTTTTTGAAAATAAATCTTTGTTTATAAAGGTTTTTGTTATATTTTTTTCTACAGATACCACACCAAATGAATTTTAAATCAGTTCCAGGAGAAAAAAATTGAAATCAAACATGACAGATTACAATAACGAAGGAATCTTTTTCATTTTCTTCACCATCTTTATTTTTAAGATGGGACTTTAAGCGTCCAGAGAAAAAAATTCACTAAGTTTTCTTCATTAATCAGTTTTTAACCCAATGTTTTACTATATTATATATATATATATATATATATATATAATATATATATATATATATTATATATATATATAGAGAGAGAGAGAGAGAAGAGAGAGAGAGAAGAGAGGAGAGGAGAGGAGAGGGAGAGAGGAGGGGAGAGAAGAGAGGAGGGAGGAGGGAGAGCAGGAGGAGAGAGAGGAGGGGAGAGGGGGAGAGGAGGGGGGAGAGGAGGGGAAGGAGGAGGGAGAGGGGGATGAGAGGAAGGAAGGGAGGGAGAGGGAGAGAGGAGAGAGGGCAGAAGGGGGAGAGAGAGGGAGAGAGAGAGAGAGGAGGAGGGAGAGAGAGGGAGAAGAGAGGGAGGAAGAGAGGAGAGAGAGAGAGGGAGAGAGAGAGGGAGAGAGGGAGAGAGAGAGGGGGGAAGAAGAGAGGGGAGAGAGAGGGGAGAGAGAGAGGGGGAGAGAGAGGGGGAAGAGAAAGAGGGAGAGAGAGAGGGAAGAGCAGAGGAGAGGAGAGGGAGGGAGAGGGAGAGAGGGAAAGAGAGGGAGGAGAGAGAGAGAGAGGGATGAGAGAGAGATATAGACCTGTCATGTCCAAATTACAAAGAATAATGACGCAGATTTTTATCATGTAGATCAGAAGCAGAGTATTTTGGAGTATTTATTGATTTCTATAGAAGCAAGGGTGGATTGTCTTGTGCTAAAGCACATGGCTGAAGTGTGGCATTACCCAATGTTAGGCAATAGTGAAAAAGACCAGAGAGCTGTTAATGAAGCAAAGTATTTGTCTTCAATTCTTTTCTACATTACTGATAACAATAGTACACATTAAAACTAAAAACATAAACAATATTATCATCATTAAACACCACAAAAGATTCCTGCACATGAAATCAAATTAACAATGTGTGACCTTATTTACTTTGAATAGAGAAACCCATCTACAGAATACTGACCATTGCATTATTTTCCTTGACATACTAAAGCTCTTACCTTGAACAGTCTTGTGCCAGTAATGTTAGTGAGGTAGAACTGCCTTTTTTAGGGCTTAGGGCAGGCTCCAAGAGCAAATTTGCATCAATTGCAGTAGTTTCATCTGTGACACTACTTTGCTGTTGTAATCGCCAACCATTGCCTGCTGAACGAGCATTGCGCTTCAAACTACCAGTGTTGCTGTTGCTACCACTTGTTACTGCTGGATTCTCACTACCAGGCTGCCACACAACATTATTTGTTAGAAAACAAAATTTTAATTTTTGATTAGTGTCCTCACATGAATAAATTGGGGGCTAGATATGTTTTTAATAATGACATAAATTATAAGAAATGAAATAAACTAAAAAGTCGAATCATTTATTAAAAATAAAGTATGTATTCCCTTCCTCAAACAAATGCATATTAGCACACAACCTTGCCCTCTCGTATCTTAAAACCATTTTAAAACATATTCATAAAATCAACCAATGTCAGTAATTAAAAATGTGCAAGAGAATACAAATTCCCCTGTATACTGTTGCCAGTTGCTAAGTGAATTTGGTTCAGATCTCCACGCCATCTCTCTCAGCCTCGCCTGCTCCTAACTTCCATCCACTTTACAAAACAACTCAAAAAAAATCTAATTTGTCTTTTTCACTTCTTGTGTCTTCAAATTAATCCTTCTTAAATAATGAGTGCAGAGATACAGAGACAGAGACCATGAGACACACACTAGCAATACAATTTTGTAAGCCCTTTGAGCAAAATAAAGTAAAGCAAATGGTTTGACAGTTATATCCATTTAACATGCGGATTTTTAAGGGTGAAGAAACCCTTCTTACTCTTCATAGCAGTAGTGAGTGTAAGAATTTGTCCTACATTGCAGTTTTGGCAGGTAAAAGAATCATCAAGGTGTGGAGAAGATTTAAGAAGCAAATGTCCTTGACTTCAATTTCCCAGAACTATATTGAACAAATACAAACAATCACATACTCTAAAGTTTATTTCTTTAATATTACTCACAATTCACATTTTACACCACTACTATTTTACTGATTCTATTAATTACTATTTATTAATCATTTTTAAGACTTTTGTTATTTTTATATACTTTAAAAACAATGTTTCAAACATCTTTACGTACGATCATTCTATTTTGTTTTTACGACTTCTTAAATAAAATGTTGAATACATGTACATGAACATGTATAGGTATGATGACAAACTGCATCCCAGTAATCCGTAATACTGTTCAAAAGTATTCTGTAAAATTTAATTCCCTTTATTTTGATTCTCTGAATCTGAGTAAAGGCTTTAGCTTTCATTTACAATTCTTGTAAGTATTGTCTCTCTCTCTCTCTCATACTACCTAAATTGTGTCTCTACTTACTCTATAATACACTCGTCATGCAACTTATGTAAGTAATATCAAGTTAAGTGAATATATGAGGGAATACAATAATTAATTCGAGAATATTGAATACCAAATAATAGGAAAGTATATAAACAAAACTAAAACTCATTACTCACAACGTAATTGACATAATCCTGCCAAGCTCGCCACCAGTCAACAGCAACAAGATACCAAAACTGGCCAACTCTGTAACCACGTCTCTGTTCACGCTCTAGCCAACCACGCACTACAGCTCCTTCCTCCTGACGTGAAACAGGCCTTAGACCAAGCACTACATGGCAAACCTGAAAATCATATTTCATTAACATCCTCTGTTCAAAACACTGATTCTTTCTGTAGTAATATTTGCAATAGCAATATTTACGACTGAAGATAAGGCTAGTGATTGAAGGGAACTTCGTTGGGGGCTGTAGAAATGATTTCAAATAAAGTCACTTTCGTATTACAAAAAACTATAATTTTCAAAAATTAGAATTAGTCAATTATATTATATCTTAAGAAGAATTATTTCCCCTCTGCAACAAAATTACTTAATTTGGTTTGTTTGACATATTATAAAATAGATATAAACTGTATTAAGTTTTAGAAGAAAATATTTCCGTACACAATTAAAGGTAAAAATTTGATAAAAGTTAGACAAGTAATCATAAAGCAATGGTCTCAGAAAAGGAAGTGGTCAACTTGAGAATTACTTCAAAAGAAAGATCAGACAATGGAGCAGAATAAGCAAATGCCATTCAAATCCAAACATTGAATCAATTGAAACTACACTCAAATATAACATGAAGGTGAAGATAAAATAACAAACTGTTCAACTTTTTGAAGCTAAATTTATTTACTTAATTTTAAAAAACACTAAAAAGCTGTAGTAACATGGGAAGAATTCTGAAACTTTGCATACTTTTAAAATTCTTGGTTGGAAGTACCGAGAAACTATTTGCTAATACAAAAAGATGATGGAAAGCAATGGAAATTACAAAATATTTAACACACAGAAAATTCAACAATGCCGATAAAAAAAGAAAAGTTATTAAAATTTATGTATAAGGAGCAAAAGAATGAGGAACGAAGAACATTAAGTGACTGCTTCAGAACGTAATGTAAACCTTTTCTTGACCTTTACCTTCATTTAAAAAATAGTTTGTACTTTCTTATTATTGCTTAATGAGATATAGAAACAAGACATCAATCATAAGTTTGTATGGCAAAACTATGCCTTTAAGCAAATTATTATATCTAATTAATAATAACAAATTTAAAAAAATAATTACTAATAAATAAAAACATTTGAAAAACACAAATAAAGAATATGAAACTAAATATAAAAAACAAACTTTAAAATATAAATAGTTTAGGCTTATTGGATTTAAATTTATTTGAACAGAACCTGGTTTTATCTTTGCATGCAATGGGAGCCATGGGTGCCAAATTTGTAAACTCGATGATACCAAGCAGTCACATAGGAGCGCAAAATGTCTATAACAACAAATTTTTTTCAAAAATATAGAAATTTGGGATTACAAATCAAGAATCACAATATTGTGGATAATTTTCATATCTAGAGATAATACACTGAGCAAGCTGTGACCCATGATCTCACTCATTCTCTGGCATGCACTTCCTGCAACCGAGTGTGAGATAACATGAGCAGTGCACATTGAGGTAACCTAAACAGACAGCATCCAGCTGCATCTCCACATAGGGCACCTCAGTTTATCACAACCCAATATTGTACAGAGTATGAAAAAAATTGCTGGATCTTGAAACAGAACCAATTTTTGAAAATTTCTTCAATTTTCTAACAGCAACAAATTTGAAGTAAAAATAAATTGTGAAAGAAAGCAGTAAAATATACAAAAAGGGAAAAATATGTAAAATATATGAATACAGATTCAAATAATGAAAAAACCATTACTAAATTTCTTTTTCTTTTGAGGTACTTAATGCTTTCCAAATTGGTGGTACTCTTTCCAAATTGTCAAATAATACAACATACAAAACTAGCCACTTCCCACTAACATATGGAAATCCAACGAACAGTAAAGAAATCCAGGAAAATAATACGAAAGACACAATGTAATTACTTAATATATAAGTTAATGACAATAAATTGAAAATGTTACATAGACATAGCTACCTGGAATAGTAGATTTAAAAAGTCTACAGATAATGAATTATCGACAGTCCACATCAAATATTCTTCAGTTGTGAGGCCTTGTTGACTAGATGCATGTTTGCGAATATCAGCCATAATACTTCCTGCATCTAGGAAACAAAAATTAATTCAGAACTCACAGTAAATTGTACAAAAAGATAGGATTACTTATTTTTGTACTTGCCAACTTTTCCAAAGGGGTCTTTAGATAATTCTTCGGGAGTTTTATTTTCTTGTCTGACAAAAAGAAGAACATCAATCATGTGTCTCAGCTCTTCCTCGGTCAGAATTCCATCTCGATCACTGTCAAAAACTTTAAAACAAACTGTAAAAAAATCAACACAATGTCATATTACTTCATGAAATATTTCTTGCTAACAAAGTGTTAAGAAAAAGTTTTTCAGTCACACTAAAGATTTCTTAAATTACTGGCAACATAACGAATCAATATTTTAAGCATCTACAGAATTTAGTAGATGAAATAATCTTCACTTCAATTTTCTGATCATATAATTTTTCTGTCAGTAACTTACACTTTTGTCTCTCTGTTAAAGGGCCCCTACAAGCAGCTGAAATGCCACATGCCATTTCTTTAAAATCAATGTGAGAGTCACGATTCTCATCAAAGGCTGCAAAAACACCAGCCCACACAGACAAAGGTACAGGAGGAGAGATGAGAGGTATCAATGTATCTAGATCAAGTCGTCCAGTACGAGACTGGCCTTTCAGCAGCCAATAACGCTTCTCCAATTCAATAATATCACTTTCTTCCACTGCAAGAACAAACATTAATTACTTCATGAAAATCAACAAAAAATGATTCTACAATTCAAACATAAGTGCAATCTTGAAAAAGATACAGAACTTGCTAAACTGTATATATTAAAAGAAAGAAATTATTAAATTAAAAACACCTTGATTCCATATAATATTGAATGAATTCAATAACTCTAAACACAATTGAGGTAAGACTGCATTTATTTAACTCTGTCAATGGTAAATCTTTAAATAATATATCAAGATAAATCATTTTTCCAAGTTGGTTTAAACAGATATTCCTTCATTACATTCCCTGCAAAGTACATATATTCATGTATTATAATTTAACATACCACAGAATCATTTAAATTTATCAATAAAATTATGAGACAGAAAAGTGGTGTCAAAATTGACTATTGTAAGTAAGTTATAAGTAAACAATATCAAAATTAAGAATAATTACAATGAGTAACTCCTGCTAGGGTCTGATAGAAGGTGGGTGTTTCCAATTCATTGCTTAAAGTAACAGTACAAGGTTCCGATAACAGCCATCTACTCAAAGATGTTGCCTCTGGGTTAGCCCGCAGCCAATCCCGAAATTCTTCATACGTTACTCGATCTTTCTGTAATACAAAAGAATGACCAAATATATATAAAAAATCTCAAAATGAACATAAATTTTGCACATTAAAAATGAAAATTTAAAAGCTTAATGTAAATTGAACTTTACCTCAAGAAAAAGGCTGCTTACAGTCTCAGGAACATATCCACTTTCACATGCTTGCAAGAGACGTTGAAAATCTTCTCGAACCACATAGCTTCCACTCTCATTTGAGTATAGTCCGAATAAAACTGAAAAGTTTTTTAACAAAATATAAGTACAATAGTGAAAAACATTTTAATGAAGGTATTTTATAAGAACATGTTAATGACCGTTTGTCCCTAATGTGAACAGTACATAAACACAAACACACACTGACCTGAAAAACTTGACACAAATATACGTACATTTCAATTTTTCTTCTTCTTTTCCTCTTGTCAATAGAACCAAGCCACACAGAAGATCTTTCAAAGCTATTCCTTTCTGTGTACCTCCACATGCCGAAAAAATGTACTACAAAAACAAATATAATTAACTTAAAGATTGTTAATTCTTTCAAATCATTTCATAGAATAAGATAGCAAAATAAACACACAGTGAAAACACACAAAACAATGTGAAGGCAATGTAATTTTACAACGTATTTATAAACTGAATAATTCTGTAATGCGATAAAACATTCTCAAAGAATTTGACAAGAAAACAAACCTCTGCAACTGGTAAAGGTACTCCTTCTCCTAATACATCTCTCACAAAAGATTGCTTAGTAATGCTTCCGTTTAGGGTAGACACCCTCTTAAAGGCTTCCTTAAGCCTTTTTAATTCTGCGTCAGTCACTGTAAAAAAAGTATTTGGGGGTCACTGATATGACAATGTGTTGAAAACGTAATTGTTTGTCATTCTATGGACGAAGAAAAACGTAAGTAAATTACAAACCTCTTTTGATCGCCTCTTCATATGTTATACAACACGGTTTGGAATCTTTAGCGCCCATTCTTTTTCTTTAAACAACACGACACTGTCTTCAATCGACAAATAACAAATTACGTTGACATATTTACCAAAACACCAATGCTACGACCACCTTCCATCTTGGAACTAACTTGACGTAACAAGACTACTCGATACAATGGACAGTCCATTATCATTGCCTATCTCTTGGCACACGTCTTCAAACAGAAATGACGTTGAATTCCAGTTGATTGATTTTTACGTTAGAAACTTTTGAAGATAATTCTACAAACTTGTGAATGCGAAATACCCTGGAAGATATGCGCGGCCTGTTCAAAATGACTACTCTGATTCCACGAAGTTTAACTTCACGCAGAGCACGACTAAACCTATAACGTAGTTATCAAGTGCGCTAGTCTATTATTAGCGACGTTCTTCAAGGTGATACTGGGATAATTTTCATTATTTTATTTACAGCTTCTTTGTTTCACCAATTCAAATGGGCATTGTAATGTCAATTACAGATTAATTTATGGCAAATTCTGAACCTTGAATGTACCAAAATATATTTTTTCTTTCTTAACTTTAACTCTTGTCAAACATGCAATATCCAAAACTAAATTTTATTTTATCGATTCTTATTTTCATCAATAATTGGAATAACAATTTCAAAATTATTAATTGAACATTTTAGAACTGGCAGTCATTCCACTTTCTTTATGTTTCTTTAGTATAGATTGTACTTACCCTTCATTTGAGACCATTGTTTACATAATCATTTAAGTCTTCATTCAGTCACACTTGCTACTTAGTCTTGGGATGTTAGGAAAACATGCTTTAATCGTACAACAAGGTTTTGTGAACACCCTTTATTTTTATTTTTAAAAAAAAAAAAGAAAAAGAAAGAAAATAGTCAACAAAGTGTGGAGGCTGGGGAAGTACCGTATGCATGAAAGAAAATGTTAGCACGAATTACTGATCATTGTGTTTAACTCTTTATGTTCATAATTTTCAGTGAATAGTGTAGGTACATTACATTGTAAATTATAGCACAATTAGACCTGAGTATTCTTCAAAAACCCAAGTTTCTCTTATAATCATTTTTTTTTTTTATTTATCTTTCTTCATACATATCTTTCCAATCATGTGATTCTTTTATTTTCGGAAAATTCTTTTCAAGTCACCCTCTTTTTTAAAAATTACTAGAGAACAACCAAAGGTATGTAGTTATTGTTTAAGCCAGAAGTTTCAAAAATATAAAACAATGACAATCAGAATTATGACCCTACTGCAACTAAACAATCAAAATATTCCACCATTAAAGAAAACAGCTAAGATTTACACAGAATGCATTCTTTTGCAGCTGTTGAATGCATTCGACCTAAAGAAAGCGTGTAATCCCAATACCACCAATCTTGCAAAGAACATTTAGAAACAAACAAAATGAAGAACCATTCACTCGTAACCCATGATATACAATTTCTTCACATATCACTCCATGAACATAAAAATAGTGTTTTGAGTTCTTGTCACCACTATATAAAACAACTGGTTGTTCATCTTGAAGTTCTGGAACATCAACTGGGTTTTCTGGAGGTTATCATTACCAACATAGTTCAGTTGAACGAAACATTTTACAATTATTACAAAGCTTTCCATCACATTTGTCATAGTTTAGAATAGGAGAGAGAGAGAGAAAACTAAACAACAACAAAAAAAAAATAAAATAAAATAAAATAAAAAGGAAAGAACGTACCAGTTAAAACTATTTACAACATAAAAAATATTATTGGTATCTAAAATGAGCTCTTTCGGTAAATACAGTAGATCTTAACACAAAAGAAAAATGCAATGCTTTTAAGCATCACAAGGGCTTCACAATCTCTCTGCCAATCGCCGGCAACTCATAAAACAACCTAGATGGAGAACTTCTATGAACAGTACAGCCATGTGTGTGATTAGTTTCTCCATCCACAGTTGCACTTTCAATTAGCAGTATATATGCCTGACAAAAACTTCCTTTATACATTAAGAACTTTGCACCAGTGATCTCTCCACTTATCCATCTTAACAAGTTTCTCATAATTATTTATATCCTCCAACACCATTTTTTGTACAGGTAATTCCGACTAAGCATATTGAACTTCTCTTAACAAAGACTATGAAAAGTAGCTTAGTGTTGTGTTCCTGTCAATTGTCACACTGATCACTACACAAGGCTCAGTCCTCATCAGATAATGGTTCATATTGGTCTGACAGTAAAGGTACAGGTTCAGATGATCGAGATGAAATATCTGCAGGAGAGCTTGTAGCAGCCGAGCCCTGGGAGACAGACAACTGTGGGTTTTTGCCTGCAGATGACCCACCACTCTGGCTGACTGACTGACTCACAGGAGGTTGACCAGTTGAAGGCTGTCCACTGGGGTTTGGAGAATGCAAAACATTCAGGGCTGAGAAGGGGTATGAGAATGTAGTAGAAGTGGGCACAAATTCAGCTGCAGGTGGCAGGACCATTGTCTTAGAGGCTGGAGACGATGCATGAGGAAATCCTGAACCCCCCACACGCCCACCCACAACGTCCAAGTTACTGGCAACTGAAACAGTGTTAACGTTAGGGGAAGGCACCTTGCTGGTCACAGCAGAAGGCTCCAGCTTCCCTGGACCTGCAGTTCCACCACTATCTCCACTCTGCTGCCCCTGGGACTGCGCACTTTCATCGATCACCATCTCACCAGGACTATCACACGCTCGCTCTTTGTCTTTCACTGAATTTTCACTATCTCCAGTCCTTAACCGCACATTCCCATCCTCAGAACCCTGCTGAGGATCACCATGATCGGAAGAATATGACTGTTTATCTTCAAAGCTGCTAGGTACTTCCCGAGGTTTCCCTACTGAATAATGTTGAGCTGAAGATTGATGGTGCCTTTGTTGGGGCATGTTGCCTGGAAAAGCGGGTTTTTCATCTTCCGAAGTTCTCATAACCTCAACAATTTTATTATTAACATAATCTAATGCAGAGAGTGCACTTGCTCTTCTAGTCAGGCCAAGAAATGCCAGGTCAGAAGGCGCTGTCACAGGTGTACCAAGCATTCCTCCTGAACTGCTACCAGGAGGCAACCACAGATGGTTCCCAGGGCCTGCTTCAGGAGGGGATACTGGCTCCACATGATATCCCGGGCCTGAAGAACCCTTTGATCCCTGCTGAGGATTACCTCCTCGCGGGGAAGCTGGCTGAGCTATCCTTATGATTTGCCTTTCATCAGACTGTAAGGGAGTGCCTGCACGAGATTTATCCCTTTCCCGCTCCCTTTCGCGTTCCCTCTCTCTCTCCTGTTGTTGAAGAGCGTGGCGGAGGCGAGGATCATCTGCTGGTGAAGACACAGGAGGAGGTGCCATATGAACATATGGCACATGTGGGTATACATTTCTGTGGTGTGTTGGCATCTGCACATAAGTACTGCCCGTGGATCCAGCAGCACTGCTCCCATATTCTTTATTGATAGTAGAATGAATATGCTCCCCAAGAGTGAATGTAGTTTTGGAATTTCCAGTCACTTGATTTTCTTGTGGCTGTGAGGATGCTTTGCCATGCTCCAAATGCACTGTGGGACTATGAGTCCCTTTCATAGGTGATGTCTTCCCATTTGCTTCCGATACAACAAGCATTGGTTGAGAAGGTGGCTGAGACTGAGACTGGGGTTGAGATTGTGTTTGTGATTGTGACTGTGCCTGCGATTGAGACTGTGAAGAAGGAGGCTGATGAAATCCCTGAAAAAGAAATAAAATCACTTGTTTTGGCACACAAATTCAATGGAATGTCATGTCCAATATTTGTCATTCAATAAGATATTTATTTTCTAACAGTTCTGTCAGGTGAAATAAGAAAGGTTACCTGGAAAAGTCTGTCGCCAGGCCGAGTTGGGACTTGGGATCCTCCACCTCCTAAACCATTACTCCCTGGTTCTGAACACTGATTGATGGAATGAGTCACCAGAGCATCAATTAGACTTGCTGTTGTCATTGTGAGAGAATCTCCAGTTTGGGGGCGACCACCTGTTGTTGGAGGACCTCTTCCCTCCCTTTCCCGAGAAGTGTCAATAACTGCAAATTCATAAACAAAAATAAAATGAATCCAGGTAAATTAATCAACTTAACAGGAGAGGTTTCACAGCGGCAATAGCTGAAACTTACCATGACTTTGCTGATGCTGTTGAGTTTGTTGCTGCAACTGTTGTTGTTGCTGCTGCTGTTGTTGTTGTTGTTGTTGTTGTTGCTGTTGCTGCTGGTGTTGCTGTTGCTGCTGGTGCTGGTGCTGCTGCTGGTGCTGTTGCTGTTGCTGCTGCTGCTGCTGGTGTTGCTGCTGCTGCTGCTGCTGGTGTTGCTGCTGCTGCTGGTGTTGCTGCTGCTGCTGCTGGTGTTGCTGCTGTTGGTGTTGCTGGTGTTGTTGCTGTTGTTGCTGCTGCTGTTGCTGCTGCATGGTTGTTGGATGATGACGCCCTGGACCTAATTCCCGTGAAAAACTTCCAATAACCATACGAGTTCCTTCTGAGGGCCGTTCCATGTCAGCAGCACGATTATGTTCACGGGAATAGGCAGAACTGGGGTGCAGGCGATTAGATGCTTGTCGATGATCAAACTCTGGTGCCATTCTCACTTGCCGCAACATTTGTTGTTGCTGGTGTTGCTGTTGTTGCTGCTGATGATGATGATGCTGCTGATGCTGTTGATGCGACTGTTGTTGCTGGTGTTGGTGCAACTGTTGCTGTTGTAATTGATGCTGCTGCTGCTGGTGTTGCTGCTGCTGCTGCTGCTGCTGTTGCTGCTGCTGTTGCTGCTGCTGCTGTTGTTGAATATGTACAAGCCTCTCCCTCTCATCTCGCATTACTTGACCATACCGGTCCTGCCTCATTTCCTAAAATGAAAAATATATTCATTATTTCAAAATATAATTCGAAGTTCAAATCATGTTTATATTTAAGAAAAAACATCAGAAATAATTTTCACTCAAAATAAAGAAAAAATATGTACTACACTCACCTGATGAGGATCTCGAGCCGGACTTGGTGACGCAAACCTCTGGTCGTCACGATCTCTGAGACTTAAATATCGATGCTGCTCAGCTTGATGATGTGCTTGAGCATCCCTCTCACGAGCATACCTCTCCTGTTCATGATGCTCTGCCAAAACTCTTGGACTCATTGAGTCCATAATTGTCTTGCCAAGACCCTCATGGGCATGTGAAGGATGAGAAGGATATCTCTGGGATGATGGAGGAGGCTGTCGTTTGTCAGCAGGTACTGGTAGACTGGGTTGTTGGACTGCAACATCTACTAGAGAAGAGAAAGCTTCGTGACCAGGAGGAGGCTGGTGGTAGTGGTGTGCATGAGATGGAATGTGGTGCAAACGCTGATGTGGAGATGGTGCAGGTGATGGAGGCTTGCCTGCTGAGCTGCCCGAATTTATACTACCACTACTAGGTGGGCGAGATTGAGATACCTGAGGAACAGCAGTATTGTGTCGTTGGATAACCCCTTGCCTCGTTGGAGGGGTTGGGGTATGGTGAGGTGGGGTGGGAGGTTGTTCAGTGGCAGGGTTATTAGAAGGTGGTCTTGACAACCGAGAATCAGCAGCTAAATATGAAGACTGACTTGCATTTGAAGGGTAATAATGTGGGGAAGAAGACACTGCTCGTGGTGAAGGAGCATCTTGCTGAGAGCTTCCTTTCTCAGATGAGGAAGTGGAACCAGACCCTCTCCTCAAACCCTGCATTTGTTGTGATGTTATGTAGTCATTAATGATTATCTCTCTCCGGATCTGTGCATCCAATGTTGGTGCCCCTCTGGACACTGGATGGGTATAACTAAATCCACTGGGGGTAGAGGTTTGTGGCAGAGAGCTTTCATGAGAATAAACACTGTACCCTGAAGGAGCGGGGCTTGGATTTGAACTATTGGTGTTTTGGCCAGAAGCTGGAGACACTCTCTTATAATAGTTGTAACTAGATGGAGTGAGGGATCCAGAGCGATCAGACCGTTTGTCAGCACCCAGATGATGAGGGGAAGCATGTACAGGTGTTCCCTGAGTTATGGATCCCGCAGTAAGCTGTAAAACACACAAACACTTCAAGTGAAGCACAATAAAGTACTTGGGCATAAGATCTCAAATTAAA